TTGATGATGTGAGATGTTGCTTCAATATTTCTACATTATATTATTTCCTCATGATACGTCGTGTTTTATGGAAGTGCACCAGTTCCTTCTGCACATACTGTTCTAAGATTTGCAGGCCTCTTGCCTTTTTCTCCAAATGCAGCTATTATCATTAACATTATTGGCCAAACATACATTTTTAATTTCATTAGATCATTAAGTATATACCTCTCCAAAATAAGTTCTTTGCCCTGGTGTGCATTTAGTAATCTGGCTTATTCCAGCTCAGTCAGCATGTTCATAATGGAATTGAAGTGCTTTTTTGCACCCAGGGTTCATCTTTGCGATAAAAACCCTGTTAGCCCTATAAATAAGACGATAGTTGCTCATTTATGGAGGCGCAAAATGATTTTGTCATATCTTGCCTGAATTTTTGTAATGAGCCAATCTCAGACAAAAAGCAGTGTTTGATGTTTCACCTTAAAATAAATATGTTTTTACATTTAATTCAGGTATCATGAATTAATCTATCTGAAGAGGCTTAGATTTGTTTAATTGCTTAAGGTAAAATTAATCATAGTGAATGTGAGCTTCTAAGTCTGAATTATTCCACTACTTTTTCTGGTATTTAGCTAGTAGAAATATTTTTTTCAAACCAAAACTGACCTAATACAGCACACTTTATATAACTATATGTACGAATGTGTCAATGGGGCAGAATTTAGTATATTGGCTGACAAAGAAATCTGCTGAACCTCTTGGGTCACTTGGAGATCAAGTTAATACACATGATCAGTATCCTGTTTTTGGTACTGGAAGTAACTTTATACAAATTGGTAAGCTTTGAGAGCCATCCCCTTTAAGAAGCAGACAATCAAAAAACAAAAACAAAGGGTCAAAACAACCACCCAACAACAGTTTATTTTACATGTGTACTTTATTAAGAGCAGAACAACAAAATTTTTTTAATATTCTGTGCAAAAAGGACCCAAAGCTACTTAAACAAGATCTAAAAGTTTTTTTTTTTTTTGTATATTGCTGCTGAGGTTTAACACATGCATACATTTATGCATGCATCATATATAGGCTGAGAGCTCTGCCTTCATCCTACCTCACTCATGTTGTACAGTATATATCATGCTAGGTATATATTAACTAGGTATATATTAACCATTTATATTCATGGTTAATATATAAAAATGGAAAAAAGTCTAAATCCTGGGCAATTCATTCCAAAAAACTAAGACAAACAAAATGAAAACCTACTAATTACCAATGTCGAATCATGCATTTAAAATTTTGGGGGAAAATAAAGTTAAAATTTTCTATGATTTTCTTATTTTCTAGGAATTGATTTTTGTTTCACTCACACACTGAAACCTATTTAGTTTTTCAGTCCTATTAGCAGACATCTATCCCCAGGCTGAAAACCCCCTCATCTAATAGTCGCTCTGTTCTCCTAGCTGGAATTTAGCGTAGGGTTCATAAGCATTTTATCAGGGCAGATCATGTATCCAGATCATTCTCCTGTTGAGTACTCATTTTACTCATGATGGCACCCTGCTATTATCATTTGACCCATATCAGGGTATTCCAATGCCCTGAAGCGCAGATGTAATCATGTTTCATCCTTAGCTAGTCATCACTGAAGGCCCTTTGCGTATTATGATGTATTTATATCTGTTTGGCCAGCAGCACAGGAAATGTTTCATGTCTTGAAGTCATGTGATCTTCTGTCTGACAGAGGGAAGGGGGTGGGGGGCAGTGTTAATTGTCCTTAGGGTCTTAAGCAGGATATGGCTACAAAAAAGTCCAGATTAATTACCTTTTCTTATGGTCCTGTGGCCTTTATGTGCACTGTGTCATACCTCGTCAAGGGCCAGACTTCCTCTGCAGAGAACCTGCTTTGTCTTTTACTATACTGGCTGCCGGTTTTATTCATATCAGTTTGTTCCTTGTTGCCAGAGTGTGCACGCTCCTGCTGCCATTTGATCCAGTGCTTATGTTTCGTCCAAGTACGTTTGAAAAGATATGGAGAACAGCTGTCTAACAGTGTTGCGTTTCCCCATCATCCTGCAGATGCAGTTAAATTAGTTCCCATTGGTTAGTTCCCACCCATTAGGTCTATTTGGCTGCCTGTGGTCAGATGTGACTGCAAAGCAGAGCTCAGTAACAGCTTGCTAATTGTGTTTCAGACCTTCTCTGTCACTGATGTGGGAGTGAGGTTTAAAAAGGTTGCTTTGCCCCTGTTCTCAATCAAAGATAATCAGATTAAACAATGCGGGGATGTGTGTGTATGCGTGTGTGTGCTTACCAATAAAGAGACTCCAGATTTGGAGACAGCCTTGACTCCTGCTGTTTGCTTTGTTCATTAAGGGGAGATGAGCAGATGGTTTGCTGGTCTGTTGTGCAGCGCACACATACGGGCTCACACAAACACACATGCAAATACACAAACGCACATGAACTCAGTGCTGTCACCTTAGCTTTATCCTCCATTTATCTTTTCCATTACACATCTCTCAGCAGGACAAAGCTGCTCAGTCAATTGTGAGGGATGCATGTGTGTGTGTATGTGAGAGAGAGACAGAAAGGGATACAAGAGGATGTTAAAAGAGCAGAGCAGTGCAAAATGAAGTCAAATCTTTTTCAGCCAAGACAGCCTCTAAGGTGGTCATCTGAAAAGCTGATGACTCATTCACACGTTAGTTTATGTGAAGCGTTGTTCTTCACCCGTCAGCTGCTGAAAAGGAGCCACCGCCTGCAGCACAGGTATCGGTTTAGTCCTGCTTCCCCACTCATCTGTCTGCGTCCAGGAAAGGGCACAGAGCACATTTACACAAGACTGCATGAGTACAATAACTATATAATATCCGGCATTGAAACGTTTGGTTTCTTAAGATCTTTTCCCATTGCTGAAATTTTTCAATATTTGTACATAGTACATTTAAGTGTTAAATATGAAGTGTCAAAGTAAATTGACCCTTTTAGAGTTATTGCAACAACTACTGGAGCAACATATACACTATAAAGAGAGTTAATTTAACACTAATTCAGAGTGGGAACAAATGCACTCGTATTGGTGGTAAATTTAGCTTTTAAAGTGTTAACACTGCAAAATTTACTGTGTAAATTCATAGTTCTAACACTGTTCTGCTTCGCAATCTAAAATGTGGAATACTTTCTTTTTTTTACAATTAGGTTAAGTTCAAAAGGTTAAGCTCATATAGGATTTAACATATCAAAATGGAAAATTAAGACCTATAGCTATTGATAATCTTACAATGTAGTTTGTAACAGTGTAGTTACTTAAAAATGTTTTGTAGGACCAAAACAAATATATTATGAATTAACATAGAAATGTTATAGTGTGGCCTTTATAAGAAAGGGTAAGACTGCTGACTTGGCAGATGTCAGACCATCTGACAGACTCCACAAGAATTATATTACCTTAAGTTATTGCTAAAGAAACTGGCAGTTAAGTGTTTAGTTCAAGCATGTGAATGGAAAATTTGGTGCAAGGACAACTGCAGTAGAAAATGGAGCAGATGTAAAAAGGATAATTAATATACTGTGGGAGAACCACAAGGCTTAAAATTTATCTGGGGCCATTGATTTAAGATCCATCAGCCCTATAGGTGTTAAGAAGCAATCCACAATATTATCATTCCTGTACTCATGTCAGAAATATCTCACCTGGATGAACTTTTGCTTAGTGCTCCAAAGTCCTCTCTGCAGGTTAAAGTATGTTTTGGATTAGAATGCATATTAAGGTTCTATAGGAAGAGCAAGATGTAGAAAGTAACATGCCTGAGGTCCTTTGTAAAGTTTCAAAAGTCCAATTTTTTGGATTGGGGGGGGGGGGGTTGGGGGGGCGTTGGGGGGGGTTATCTGCTGGTGTTGGACCAATGTGCGCTGTTTGTTGTCAAAGTTTACAAAGATCCTGATTTCATTTTCCAGCAGGACTTTGAGACATGGGCCGTAAGTACCAACAGCTGGTTTAAGGATGAAAGCAACACAGCTCTGGCTGCTGGACCAGCAACCTCGACTGACCTTAACCACAATTACATTTTAAGAGTATTTTTAAAAATGTAAATAATAAACACCAGACCCAACGGATGCAATTTAAATTAGGGCAGAAATAAAAGCTCAAAAAACACCTCAGCAGAGCTACAGTCTCCTCCAGGCAAGGCTGCAGTAATTTATGCAAAGGAGGCGTGACTACACATCACGAGCATTCAGTGAACATAAAATAGATTTACATTCAAGTATGCCAACATTTGTTTTAAATTTCTTCCAATTACTAGTTTCATTAAACAGTAGAATTTAACATGTTTTAATGTTACTACAATCTCAAAATGAATTTAAAATTTATCTTTAACATATAATCAGAGTTTAACTAGGCATTATCTTTTGAACAGTTACTAAAATAAGGTAATTTTTGACAGCATTGACTGGACTGTTTTATGCCCATATTTAATCTGTAAATCACATTTTTATTTTGTAATTTGTGTTGATTTGTCATCATTTCTCCCTGCAGTTGGGATTGCCATTATCCTGTCTCCACCATGTTGCTTTCCTTTAGCTTTTAGACTTTGACAAACTATATTGTTATTTTGTATACAAAGAGTGTATACAAAAGAAACAAATGTATACACTTTTATAAGTTTGCAGGCTCAGTGAGATATTGTCTGTTGGGCTATATAATCAAAATTAAGAATTATGCAACAGGAGAAATATATGAATGTTTCCCACTTTAGTAAAGCAAGTTGCCAGGAGATGAGAAACACGAAAATAAATAGTAACACATATATACATGTGTAAATATAAATGTGTGTGTAATATATATATATATATATATATATATATATATATATATATATATATATATATATATATATATATATATATATATATATATATATATATATATATATATATTTTATATCCCCATTGCCTAACAAATGTAAACATAGAAGCACATCCAGAGTTTCAAAAGTAATAAAAACAACAACTCAATCTAAAATCAAGCAATGACACAGTTTAATAAAAAGGATCTGTATTGTTTGTATTGTCAAACTGCACTACTGCATAACATACACAATACAGGTCATTTACTGACTGTACAACATGCCATGTTTTTCATTTAATAATAATAATAACAATAATAATAATAAAAATGGTGACTATATATATGTACACACCTCTGTTACAGGTTATATTCATCAATGGTGTCGAAAACAAACGGCACTGACAGAAAAAAAAGACATTTATGGTCATTTTAAGCAACGCTTTAAAAACTGATAAAAAGAAACACAGTTTTAACACAACATCAGAATAAAATTCTCCCCCACTGATAATTGAAGCAATAAATTAAACCACAAAGATGATGTAGGGGAAGCAGAGATAGTGTCTCAGATGACACTGCTGGAATGATCATGCCTTTTGACTGTATGTGTCAAAAATTAGGAATCTTCACGATGGTTCCTCCTTACATCCGTCCATCTGCTGGTTCCTGACCCTCAGTACCTCCCTGTGGTTTGCATGTAAACTCTGGCCTCTGCAATCCAAAGGAAATAAAGATTGTAGTGTGCACACACACCTCGATTTTGAGCCTTCACTTGCAACAGGGATGTTTTTATCAGCCTTTAATTTTAGTCATTCCCAGCATTATTTAGCCGTTTTTGTCAAATTTATGATTCTTTTCGAAACCTTGCTCGTTGATATTGTCCTGTCTGTTTTTATGTAAGCTGCCAACAGATGTGAAAACTTCCTCCAAAGAAGAGACAAATCAAAGATTTAATTAAGGTTAATAATTTGACTTAAGGTTAATAATTTGAGATTTTTTTTTTTAATAAACAAACAAAAAATCTACAAATCTTTCTTTTATTATTGAAATTATTATAGACTTCAATGGCTGAAGAAAAAAAAAAACATCCCAGTCATGAGATAGTAACAGGGGAGCTTATGTAAAATAGCACAAACCATTTATTTATTGATTTTATAAGGTGAAGTAGCCATCATGTCACAGGAAGTTTCTTTCTGATTGGCTAATCACTCTAATGATGACTCAAACTCCAGAGGAGCAGCTTTCCTGAAGCTAAACGTTACTCTGCTAGTAATTAATTAAAGCAACTCTGTTTAACTTTTAGCTACTTTCAGCTAAATTCACCTCTCTAGATTAAATACTACATCAGAAAACCTCAAATATGTCCGATCAGTTAAGTTTCAGGTGGCTTTTGTTTCTTACCCACAATTTTTAGCTTTTTTAGCTCTTGTTTTTATGTGGAGCTAAGACTGCTGTCATTCTGTCAGATCAAGATATCAGATTTGCATTAGGGTTGTCAAAAGTATCGATACTCAAAAAAGTATCGATACAAAAATGTTGTATCCAGATACCATACTTATTTTCAACAGTATCGATACAGTGCTACCACCAGTGGCACCTAAACAATCATTCATCTAGAGTGCAGAATAGAGGGAAATGCACTTTCTGAACACAGTGTGATTGAATAATTCTTTGCACTTTTCAGTTTCAGACTTTTTTGTAACAGGTGCAGCTGCTGAGAATTATATTTGTTTGTTAACTGCTTTGGCTAGTGTCATTGTTATGTGTGCAAAGCATAGCCAAGGAAGTTAATTTTGTTAGTTTTTTTTTATCAAGCTTGCTTAATATTGTGCACAGCATACAACCTCAAACTATTGTTCTTATTGTTTATTGTATTTTTATTTATTTGTATTTTATGGATTAATGAAAATATTTGTGTTAAATTTTGGTTTTTATCCTTGTGGTATCGAAAATGGTATCGAGTATCGACTATTTTTCCTGAGTCTCGGTATCGAGTTTTAAATTTTAGTATCGTGACAACCCTAATTTGCATACGTGTATGCTAGTCCCGATTTTCCCTTTAGTTATATCCCCATTTATTCCTTTAGTTTTTTACAAAAAAAACACTAAACTACCTCAACAGGTGAGTATCCCTTTAGTGATATACAAAAAACAATTTAAGGTCAGATCACCATACACTTCAAAAAAACTCCAGAAAGGTAAGTCATTAAATAGTTTTTTTTTAACATGACTAAAGGGATACACGCCTGTTGAGGTAGTTTAAAGTGTACTTTTCGTACAAAACGAAAGGGATAAACGGGTATTGATGGGTATGCTGGTCTAAGGTGGTGTGTTGATCTGACAGAACACCGTAAAGAAGGACTCTGGGTCACATGACTCATTGGGTAACGGATCCGAACCTCTCAGGATATAAAGTCTAGGTTCTGAGAAGAGCAACCTGCATGGAGCATCACCACACAACATCTGCCAACAGATGTGAAAACAACTTATTAAAAGAAACAGTGTCCAACAAATTAAGCTAATACTTGAGTAAAAAATTACAGTGTTGCTTGAAGGTTATATATTAGTACTCTGTGCTAGACCATAAAATCAGTTTCTAAAGAGGCTGGTTAACTTATTGTAAAGGTCTAGCTCTAGCAGGTTTGCTGATCAACCTGAATCTTTCTTGGTAAAGGTGCTGGAGGCCAGAAGAGTTTAGAAGCAAACAGAAGGTTTCCACTCATGGATTTGGCTCTGGTAATAGTAATAGGAACACATTTATTTATTGTTTTTTGCCTTTGACCTTTCCTCTATTAGTGAACATTTTACATACTGTTTGTTGATATGTAATACATTTATTCTTAGTCGTATTTTTTTTAAATCAACGCTGAATGAGTATTGAGTATTGATTAATAACAAAAATCAATTAGCTCGTTTTTCGTCTTTCATAAAAAGTGTTTATGCTTTGTGATTAGCCGATATCGATATGAAATTTTAAGAAAAGGCTTGATTATTAATAAAAAAAAAGAAAACAATAATCAACAATAGGAATGAGCACCAAATGAAAGGTAGTGTTTTTATCAGCTTGCTTATATTGGAGATTTTTGACACAGACCAATTTATGCTGATATTGGTTTTTTTTTGGCTGATATCAGACCAATTTTAGATATAACAATCAGATCAATGTTAATCTTTTTAGTAATTCTAGATAAAGTTAGGTCCTTAAACATACACAGAAATCTTCCGAATGTGCCTTAAGGGATTGCCTTAAGGAAAAATAAAGAATTCACCCTTTAGGGTTGAATAAGGCAATGAAATCATTCAAAGCAGCTTTATATAGATACAAGCCAAATCCAATTATTTAACGTGTAATAAATGCTGGTAACAGAATGCCTTAGAGAAGAAATAATCAGTTCATACAAATACTAAAGCTCCTACACAGCCATGACCACTGATCCCTAACAAAGAAGTATTATTGAGTTCAAAGCATTTTTTTTCTGCTCCATGTTTCCCATTTTTTGATGATAAAACTTCCTGGCACAAAAGAAGCAGATTCTGCCCCGCTGTCTGACAGACAATTCCCCTTTAAATGATTTATTACTGGGTGTTAATTATGCAAATGATGTCCAAACAAACTCGTCATGAGAACAATTAAGACAGCCATTAATTAGTGGCCAGTTCTCTTCTTGCTTCACTGACATTCAATTAAAAATAGGTTTTGAACAACCCCGCTGTCTGGTTTGGTGGTCCTTACCATAGCGTAGAGCTGAGGTGGGCTGAACCTACTCTCTCTTCTGATGAGGCTGAATTCAAGATTACTGTCAGTTTAAGATCTTATATCTGTTTTTTTATGTCTATCTCTGTCAAGACAATAATGGTGGCAAAATGAATATATTAAAACTTCTGTTTCCATTAAACTGCCAGCCCCTGTAAACTGCTTCATGCTTCATTTAATTTTGCTCAATTTCAGGCGCAGCCTCACTGTGAAATCTTTCAAAACCTTTCCAGTAGATTGGTCTGTTAAGCATCAAAAGCAACCGGTAGGTGAAAAAATAAAATCTGTTGTTCTAGCTCAGTCAACGGGAGCTAAATAAATCCCAACCAGCAGGAATACATCTATTCTTAAAGAGAGATGGATTTTTTTAATGACATACATTTTAACTTTCAAGCTTCGATTTAATGAGCAAACATTCTGCATTTTCCCTGTGATTTTAGAACAAAAAAAAAAAGTTCTCCTTAAGCCTGTCATCTGGTGACAGATGACTTGAGCTTTTCTACAAATAAATGAAACACTAGAATACTTTTCCTGATCAAAGTCTGTTTTCACAGCTGCGCCCTCGCAGCAGCAGTGTTTGTTATCTGGACAGCTGTACCTTGTGTCGCCTTGCTGTCCAGCCCGCTGTCATCATGGCTGCTCCCGTCGGCGTCCTGGGTCACAGATTCTGCATGAGCAGGCGCTGCCAGTGATTGATGGCCTGTTGTTTGGTCATTAATTAATAAGGATGCTTAATTAGAGGCTAATGAACACTCAAGGCTAAGTTACATTGAAAGCGTCATGACATTTAATATTGTCATAGGAAAAAAACTGTGAAATAGCTCTGTAACTTTAAAGCTCAGCTTTATATAAAAAAAATAAGAATACATTATTTGCATAATAAAAGACTTTAGCATTCTGTACCTATGTGTGTGTTGGCTGTATGCAGCAGGGTGTGCTCTGCCTGATCACGGAGCTTGACCTCCTCTTCTAAGGCCTCCTGCAATTTCCTCTTACTCCGTTTTTCTTTCTTTAGACGTTTCTGAATCAGAACTAAAGGCAGATGAAAAAACATGTCAGAAAAATACTAATTTGCACATGAGCACAGAGAAGCAGATTTTGTTCGTAGATAAAATGCATTGTAGAAATGTCCACACCCGTTCTACAGTCGAAATTGGGATTAACACAAAGTAGTGCCAAAGCTGAAGAAAAATGATAAATGATTCCTAAAATATGTCATAAATAAAGCTTTGAATAGCATGATGTATATGTATTTTCTACCCCTGGATTTAATACTTTGCTGAAACAGGGTGAAAAGCTGTGGGAGAATAGCTCAATCAGATTCGATGGAGAATGTCTGTGAACATCGATTCTCCAATGTTGCAAAGGTTTATCAACTTTATTTGGCCTAGACTATTAACTAGATATTGATTTAATATGATCTAAACCTTCCATCGTGTATGATGGGTAAAACTCCACCTCAGCTGCTTTTATAGTCTTTAATTGGTCACATTTAGGATTGCTGTTTTTATTTTCCCTTGGTCAATTTTACTATCAACTCTGATGAACTTTCCTGTTCCTACTAAAAACAGGAATTTCCATAAGCATGATGCTGTTTTACCTTCAGGGTGGTGTGTAGGCAGAGCATTTATTACAGTTTAGCCAAGCCTGACTGAAGCATCCTCTTTTATGTCTGTCCTGCAATTCCCTCAAGCGCTTTAGGCAGTTATCTCAATATTTCTATTGACAACAGCTTTTTTCTTGCCCCTTCCATAAGACCTGAGTGTGGACTGAACAACTGAACTGCTAAGAACACATACTAAAACCGCTTTATAGATTTCAATTTTCTTTTTTTATGAATTCAAGCATTAGTATTGTTATAGACTTCACAGTTTTGTTCAACTTTGTGCTGGTCTATAACAAAGAATACATAGATGTCTGAGGCTGTAATGTGGGAAGATAAGAAAGGACATTAATACTTTGCCAATTTAGAGAAGCCACTTAACTTAACAGTCATGTTTCTGGACTGTGGGAAGAAGCCAGTGTACCCGGAGAGAACCCAGGCATGCACAGGGAGAACATGCAGAAAGCCCCGGGGCCGGGAATTAAACCCTGAACCTTCTTGTTACAAGGCAGTAGTGCTAACAACTGCACCACTGAGCAGCCTCTCCCATATTATGATATTTAACAGAAATACTGTGCATGGCAAGAGTGTTTGATATCCAAATTTGACCGTTTTATCGTCACATCCTCCTCCACCTTCCATGACCTCAATGAACAAAGTGGTCTTGATTGGAGTTTGCTAAGACTGTGCTACAGGTTACAGTTTCTGTGAACTTGCCAAACTTGATTTAGTCTGTAGTACTCTGCCAGCATCAGTCTAATTCACCTCTGCAGCTGCTTTCAGGGGTAATATACTGGCGGTGTCCTCACTTCCTTATCTGATTTTCCACCTAATGGACACCCTGTCAGTCACCAAGTGGATTAAACAAACCCTTAGCTGCGCAGCAGAATCGCCTTCATTTCAGAGGATGGATGTCGGTGAGGAGAAAAGTAACACTTCATTCGACAAGTTTCAGCTAAGATATCAAAGTAAACAATTAATCAACATGTGCGTCTATCAATCTGGTACCTCTGTTCTTCTGTTCCATGCTAAGCTGTCTTTCCAAGGTCTCCCTGAGCTCCCTTTCTCGAACAAGCTCCATTTTCAGCTCGGTCCTCTCCAGCTGGTCCTGCTTTTCCTGCGCCCGGGCGTTCTCTATGGCAACCCTCAGCAAACCCTGCTTGGAGACAACACAGGCAAATACCTACAGGTTAATGCACCGAGCCAAACTGAATTCATCATGTTTAGAAACCTTGTTATATGGAAAGTGCTTTACTTTGAAAAAGTTTAGTCAACTTCGAATTTCCAGACACTTGAAAAGTAGAAAAGGGCTGTGTGAATAACTTTTTAACACCATGAAAGTCAACTCTGATCCTTGTTAAAGGGAACTGTCATCACATCAGGGTCAAGGAACCAAACAAAGAAAGGATTTTCATTGTAGCTGCTCAATAACAAAGACCTGTAAAATCTGAGAAACGGGTCAACACACGCCCAAACCCAATTACAGCGTATCCTAAATGTCTGCCTCGTCTGCTATTTACGATTTCAGGAAATCCCAGAGAGACTGCCTCATCTCCCTCCCTATTCATCTCAGCAGTGTGCTAATAACAAAGCCCCGGCAGAGGCTCACCTGGATGTTCGTGAGCAGGGTCTCTATGGAGGACAAACCTTCCGGGAAGATGAACGGAGCGTGGTTGAGACCTGCTGGGAGCTTCTGGCCTGCGTGGTAAGAAACCCTTTCGCAGCTCTCTCTGCCTGAGGGAGGTTTCTGGTAGACGTGTCTATCACCGCTCTCCATGGTCGTTTGAGCAGCCGAGGAGCTGTTATCTGGAGTACAGAGAGACAGACGGTTTAATGCCTACTTGGTGAGACTGATTCACTTCTGACTAATGCAGTGAGCTCTACTTCACCTCCCTCATACTCTTCTGGATGTAATACATACTTAACATTTAATGTATAAATGATCTTAAAATCCCATGATAATAAATAAGGCAACCTTTTTAATTAATTATTGGAAGATGGTGGATTTTAATGTTAATCTGTCAACATGTTTTGAATCACAATCCATTTTTAGCAAGTTTGATTTAACATGACTACGTATTTCTTGGAAAAAGGCCCACAGCATCACAGATCCTCCGCTATACTTAACAGTTTGCATGACTTGCATTCTTTACATTAAATAAGACTCATTTGCTTACTATTTAGCAAACTACATAAGCATTTAGAGACAGCTCAGCCCTACTTTAAATGTAAAGCACTTAAAATAACAGCAAGTGCTACCCTGGTGTTTAACACAAAAGTGGGAAAAAAGCTACTTAAACAAAAACTATGAAATCGGTGTAAAAATACCAGTTAGAATTCACAGCGTTAAAAAATAAAATGATCTTGTAATAATTGAAAAATAATATTACACATGCTTAACCACTACGCAGAAGAGCTGAGTAGATCTGAAACGTTAAAAAGGTCAGTTTTTGGAGAGAATGGCTGCTAAAGTCTGAAAAAACATCAGTTTTTTTTTTTTTTTTACTTTATATTATAATGTAAGAAAAGAGTAAATCTAGCAAATTGTAGGCTAAATTTAAATATAGTTAAATAAAGAATAAATGAAAGAAAACATACTAATGTTATAGAATATTAGAACCTCATTGTACTACCATAACTCACGGAAATGCTCTCATCCACTGTCAAACAATCCCCCTGTTCTATGCATAAATATTCATATTTGAAGTAGTTTAAAAATTGGGCCATTAGATTTAGGCATTATTGCTTCATTTTTGCAGATGGATCAATAAGACAAACATGCAATGACATGCAAACTTCGCACAAATAGTCAAGTAAAGAGAAATACTACCTCAAGTCTTTTTATAATTGAATTCTCATGAAACATATCAAGCTCCTGTAATTAGTACATGCAACCTCAGCCACACATGCACAGAAGTTCTGTTTTAAGGTTTTAAAGACACGTCTGCCCTTTATTAGATGGCATCCTGCCTACTGATAATGCATCACAGCTTGACACGTCCCATAAAAGCAGCTAAGAACCTGCATTATGGATGACCATCTGTCTGTAAACCTGAGAACTGTGTGATCCCAATTGGTGATAGAGCGTGTGGGTATGAAGATTAGCTATTTTCTGCTTCATCTTCATCTTTTTTTTGTTCCCTTTGAATCAGCCAGTTGCTCACTTTACCGTCATCCGAGCCACTGAGGACGGAGATGTCCCGGGAGTCTGGCAGTTATTGGAGCAGGGACGAGTGCGGACGTGCCATGTGATATCTGGCACTTTTCTCTGTCTGTAACAAATGACGGCGTTTTCGCCACTTAGCTGACCACAGCATCTTGGGCTCCAAATCCGCCCACCTTTTCCCTCTCTGCCGTGGTCTCATGTCTTGGCAACTGTTACAGTCAAGGTGTTTTCAAATATGAGAGGCAATGCACTCCCCCATCCTTCGCTCCTCCACTTTCTCTCTACTTCTTGCTAAAAGCATTGCTCTGTAGAGGAAGGTAATTAGCAGGTGCTGGCGAGCTCAGCGGAGGGCATCCAACTACACTCCCGTGGCTCACATTCAGACACGCACACATTTGTAGCCGCTGAAGTGCACAGTCAGCAGCGTGGGCTCCCTCGGCTCCTTGGATGTGACTGATCCTTTATTGAGTTACTGTTTTACGCCTACTTTACCACACTCCCTCACACTCACACACATCTGCCAGCTTGTTTGATCATTTACCTATCTCCCTAACCAAGGTCATTGTCTGTTTTTCTCTTTTCTCCCAAGTTCGTCTCTCTTTTCCCCCCCTCTCCCTTTCCTCTTCACCTGTCCCCAGGGCTAATGAACTTCACAACATGAAGACTGCCAGTCAGCGGAAGAGAATAGAAAGGCGGGGGGCACAGAGAGACTAAAATTCTGCTGATGTTTGGTTAATGGGAGTGAGGTGTCAGGGATGGCCTCTGATCTTTGCTGGATGGATGCGTTGTTCAAAGACCACTGAAACAGCACACACAGCCAAAACTGTCTCTCTCACAACCAGATTATTATACATCGGATTGACAGAATGACAGCGCCGAGGAGCTTTTTTTTGAAACTCTGTTCAATCCACGCCAAACCCATCCTGTGATGTTCTAGGTCAAACACAAAAGCTCGCAATCTGCCAAATGTACACGGCTATCATTTGCATACCCTGGAAAATCAATTGAAAATCAATCGCATAAATGCAGCGTGCGATGCCCTGCACAACGTCCGCATTGTAGGCGCCATCACTGCTTTTGTCAATAGGTTTGCCGCTATCTGACAGCATCTAAAATCTTACCTATGGACCCTTTGTGATTTTCTTTTTTTAGATTCGATTAGCGAATAATGGGATTCGGCATTAGAAGATATATGCACAGGCAACCGTAAAAAAATATATATATATATATGCACATGCAAACAAGTCTCTGTCTGCCTGGCCTGTTCTTTCGCTGTAAATTTCTGCTGACTGTTTGTCCTTGAGCAGTCCTCATTAAGCTAATGCAAACCTCCCTGACAGAGAGAACCAAACAACTGACGTTGCAGCGCAGGCCCCTAACGACAGAGAGGCGGTCGTTATGCAGATGAGGTCCAGCTGAGAGAGCGGGAGGCTGCCTGGCTCGTTAGGCCGCGGCCCCGGCAAATGGCTCGCTAATGTTACGCCGCTTCCTGGTCTAATGGAGTCCTGTTTTGTAGAATTATTTGTCTTCACTCACCATGGGGGGCTGATGGCGGGGGGGCCTGGGGGGGTGGGGCTTTGACAGAGACTAAGAGGAGAGGAAGTGGTGAGACAGAGCGAGGCCATGAATTCTTATCCACCTCTTACTGTTATTACTTTCCTGGTAAATTACAAAATCCTTCTCCTCAAAACAAACAACAGTAAAAAAGCCTGTAGGTTTGCCACAGCTGTTTGAATTCAATAAGTATAATAGATTCGCTTGAAAAACTCCCTGCTAAATATTGACAGTATTTGGAAAAAGACAATAGATTTTTCCTACAACTAATCATTACTCATTACTATTGCTAAACCATTGACTCCAAAAAGAAATTCTTAGAAATCAGAAAACAGCTGACCTATGAAGCAAGGCATAAATGTTCAATGTGTTTCACCACAGGTTCTGCTTGCATGAATATATGTGAGTAGTACCCCTGTCAGTGTGGATTCGATACAGTTTGTTCTCCTTGTTGTACTCCACTGACGTCCCGTCTGGCTCTCTAGTGCCCTGAATTAAAGCAGGGGAGTTCCCCAGCATGCTGTGACCCGACGGCAGGCCGTCATGAAGCTGATCTGAGGAGAAAAGAGAAAAAGAAAAAAAAATGTCTACATTTCTAACAAAAATGTAGTCGTATACACATATAAAGAAATGTACGGAAGAGGATGAGGGCCACTGAAAAAAAAACAGATTTTTTAATTCTTTTGCAGTATAATATGACAAAAAATCAGAGAATTCTGACTTTTTTCTCAGAATTCTGACTTTAATCTCAGAATTCTGACTGAATTCTGACAGCCATAGCCATGTCTGTTTTAGAGACTAGCTCTCTTGTTTTTCACCTTCTGCTCCTCCATTAATCAAATAGCATCACTGAGGACCCCTTTTAGCACGTAAAAAGTCATAGAATTCCGTCATTTTCTACCAATCTCAAATAACTCACATATTTGTCAGTGAAGCTGAGTGCTCCCACATCTCTTCCTTCACGGTGCCCATCTACATTAAGATCCAAAATTCGGAGATTTAAGTAAAAATTCTGAGAGAAAAGTCAGAATTCTGAGATTAAAGTCAGAATTCTGAGAAAAAAGTAAAAATTCTGAGATTAAGGACAGAATTCTGAGATTAAAGTCAGAGTTCTGAGAAAAAAAGTAAGAATTCAGACTTTTTTTCCATATTAAACTGAAATAAAATTTTAAAAATCAGTCAACTTTTTTTATTTTTTCAATGTCTCTAATCCTCTTCCATAGAAATAGGAAGTACCCCATGCCAGTAATTAATGCATGATCATACAAATGCTACTATTGGCTAGCAGTGCAGTGATCCAAAACCTTTGGCATAAGGATTTGCAGATGTTGCTCTTTTTACAACAGTAATATTTCAATGGCTCATGCAAAAACTGTCCCCAAAAAAGAGACAGAAACCTCTTAACTGCTACATAAGAATACATATAAATAATGGAGCCATGATAATATAGTACTTCCTACCTGTCTCAATGGCTAATAAATAATTTCCTGTTTGATGACTTGACCTATTTACTTACTATTGTGATTAAGTAAGCTACATCACATTATAGTGAATAATAAGCTCTGGTACTTTAAAAGCTGCAACACTCCCAGCTTAAAAACAGACAAAAAAATAGAAAAAAATAAAAATAGAAGTAAAAATGTGGCTATGTTTAAAATGACCAATCACAAAAAGCCGATATAGAAAAGGTCCTTTTTTATTATGAATGCATTCACTTTCCCCATTCGGAGTGAAATTTTACCTGTCAGGAGTGAGAGCGTGAGAAGCAAGGAAAAAAGCTCGAGTTTGACTCCAGAAGTGTGAGAGCTGGCAAACCTTAAGCCTAAACTATCTTCCAGTTCCTAGGTCACACAGATGAAAACGTACGTGTTGTTTCTGAGGTTTGCTCATTATGCAGTGGTGAACTTGACACACTGCTGCTTTGATTAGATGACATCTGAGCTTCCTCCAGTGAAGGAGATGGGGAAGGGGTGTCCTGCACTCGCTCCTAGCAAGCAGCAAAAAAAAGCAAATAGTCACAAAATAAAAACAGTCAACATGTGAATTTAAAACATCAATCCAATAAGATAATTGGAGTTTTAATTAGCAAGTTAGCCAAACTATATAAATATAACTTTATAAACACAGTTCTGAAAAGCAGGATAAATAAATCTGCAATATAATTTTTATTGAAAGTAAAAAATCAAGCTTTTCTGATAAAAAAAGACAAATAAAGACTAAACAAAACTGTCATGTAGCATTTGCAGTTTTCTAGCAATCAGCGCCATAGTCTAGTTTTTTTTTTTTAGGTGGGAATACAGGGTCCTTTTCCAACGTCTCTTGAGTCGCAGCCATTACTTATAACGTTTATCTTTTGTATTTATTTTTTAATTGATTTGAGCCTTTTTTATTTAAGTGTGTTTAAGTTTTTGCGAGACACTGTAATGTAAAGGTGTGTTTTTGTGTGTTCATATTTGCTGGAAAACTAAGTTTTTAAATCTAAGCGTTTTTACCTTTATGCAATTATGCAATGTCATGAATAAATTAAATTGCAAATATTAATATTTTACAAAATATTATTGAAACATAGCTTTTTTTTTATCCAGAAATTTCTTTTTTTATTCAATATAGCATTTTTCACATAGGCACCATGTCAATGTCTGATAAAAAGCCCCTAAACCTCTGAGGTCAGTGTTACGGCCCTGCCTGCAGCAGCTGCTGCTATAGTTTGTGGAGGGTAAATTGTCATCAGCCGTCCTTTAAATGATCAGATGGGAATCAGATCTTAGTCTAAACCCTCGGCTTTGTAGTTACAAAAAACTTCAGGAATTATTCAAAAGTTCCTTTCAATCTTGAATTTTGTAGCATTTATTCTGCTATATTACAGGAAACAAAAGTTGGTCTAAAATCATTAATAAAAATATTTTAGCCTCAGGAAAACTAGGGGGCAAGCAGCTTAGGCTGAAGTCAGCCTTGAAGCTAAATCTGCTCTTTTTCTTATTTTTCAGGTTTTAGGAGTTTGTATCATTTCATAAATAAATTCTTTAACAATGACTGTTTTCGATCTTTTTTTTTATGTTTTGGCTTTTTTCCAATAAAAAAGCAATAGCTATCAACTGTTTCCTGCTACATTCTTCAACACACAACAGGTCAAACCGCTTGTATTTGCTGACTTAAGGAATTAGCTTTAGGAAAGACCCTGGAGCATCTGCCAAATGATCCATAGTTTAAATTTAGTTTCTTTTATTTTATGGTATAACAGGGCCCAAAAAACTATTCCACAAATCATTAAAGAAATTTACTTTTATACGGAGGGAAGGCTTTAAAACTTACTGCCCTGTTTACAGGAAAAGATAGCACTAAACCGTCTTCAGGACCCGGTCATAAAAAAGATTGTCTGCATTGTTAAAACTGAATGTGGAGGCAGGTTCCTGCAACTGATGATGAAGTAAAACTCTAAGGACTCAGCCCTAACTCTCTATCTTTGATTTAAAACAGAAAGCAAGCTTTAAGAAAGCTGTAGTTGATTGAATTTACCTCTAAATGCGCAGCATTTTTATGTAATGTTTCATAGACTTATACTGTTAATGGCTGGTGGTCTGATGTGATAGGTTGATGGCCGTCAGGGCTCACCTTAATGACAGAGGTGGGAGCCCTGGCAGGTGGGTTAGCATGGAGTTGTGCCACGTTAGCCATGCTGGCCAGCGTGCTCAGTCGGTTCATCTGGCCCATTGCCATGGAAACAGATGCGGGGGCCAGGCTGCCAGGAATCAGAGGATGTGACATCATCATGAAGGGCAACTGGTCCAAAACTAAAGAAGGAAAAGGAAGAAAACCAAATAAAAAAAAAACTCAGTTTCTCATCTTGTCAACAGTCATTCTTAAAAGCCATCAAGCAATGAGAAGCAATGATCCGATTGAACTTGAAATCATTAATAGATCATGACACCAAAGGTTATTGTAGGACACGTCTTTCTTATGGTGACAAACAAGGAGTGTAAAACATTTCTGGATCTTGAACTAAAGAGTTTTTCATCTTAAGTGGAGCAAAGACAAAGTCACAGTTCCTGGCTAAAGTATTCATACCCTAATAACCTTTTCACAGTTTATTACATCACAACATCATATGTATTTATTGGGATTTTATGTCATTTCTTTTTTATCATTAATACCCACTCAGACAGTAAAATTTATTTACAATAAACAAAATTAAAAACAGATATAACAAAAATCTAAAAACCGTAGCGAGTATTTGTATTCAATCCCCAAGAGTTAGTACTTTGGAAAAACAACATTTTACCACATTCATAGCCGCAGGTGATATTAGGATGTATTGCTTCACGCTTCACATCTTGATACTGACATTTCTTCTACATTCCTTCTTTAGAAACTCGCTTCTGTTTGCTCACATGTAGTCCGATTAAATCCCAAATTCCAATTTGGATTTAGGTTTGAGTTCTGAGTCATGCAGACACATAAATAAGCTTTAATCTAAAGCCTAAAATTGGTTCACTATCATGGTCCTTAAGTACCCAATGCCCTGCATGTTTAAAGGTATAGTGGAGAATTTACGTGAATTTTTTAAGTTTTGAAGACCCGCCCTCTGCACTTAAAAAAAAATGCACATGCACAACCCTGTGCAGTTTGTAGAGTGCAAGATCATAATTGGGCATTTTACCTGATTATTGGTATTTTTGCTTTTATGTTATTGGATAAACTTGCGCCTTAAATACATCCATTTTATCCTTAAAATTATAGCAGCTGCAACTACTGTATTACAAAAAAATACTGTTGGTTTTTTCCTCAATACAAGCACTTTTCAAGTCTTCAGCAGCTATCTAACAGCCAATAGAGTAAAACATAACTGGGTGTCTGTTAAACCCATTTACCCTCTATAGGTCTAATATCTATTTTTTCTTATGCTTTTGTTTTTCGCAGGGCAGCAAAAACTATAATGCAACAGTTCTTCTAACAGTTTTTAAGCATCAGTAAAGCAAAAGTAATTTAGAGCCCTAACTATAGATATAAACCTCTCAAAATTTAAACAAGATAACAATATTGACTTCTATAATGAAACTTTGCAAACAGTGATGTTAATAGAAAGTGTTTGTATTTGTAGTGGAGCATATATATATATTTTTTTTATTATTACACAGTAATTAAAATAGAACTCATTTTTTCTATTAAAGTTTGAAAACATTTTGCAGACTGATGCCTCTTGTCCTTTCTATATAGGTGGAATTGTGAAAAAAATGTCATCAATCGAAACTAGGCTCTTGTTATCTCTCCCAATCTGCTGTTCACACTCCTCTCTCTGGGACAAGTCTCCACTATCTGAAAACAAAATCCTTCCTCTCAACAGCACCCCAGTGGGTTGTTTCGGCCCTTCTATTCATGAAACAAACAATCCTTTTTTTTTTCCTTTTCTTTTTTTTTCTGGGGTGGGAATGGGGGGGTGACATAAATATTTATCATTTAATAAAAGGAAAAAACAAAAACAAAAGAAACACAGGGAGGAAGTGGAACAAAAGAAGCTGATGGCAGTCTTGGTGCTGGGCCAGCAATGCATGCTGGGTAATTATGAACACAAAGAGAAAAATCTTGGACTCTATTCCACACAATTGTCACAAATAATAGAACTTGAGGAGGAAAATAAAAAAAAGTTACAGAAAGACAGACAATAAAGCACATGAAGAGGAAAAAACTGAAGCATAAGGTGTCGACTTTTTAAGTTGAGCTCTCCAGACATATGTGAGGTGCTTTGTGCATTTTGGCAGATTATAGTCTTTTCACTTTGCCCAGTCCATAAACTAATCCAAACAAAAGATCTGTATGAATGGAGCTGAATAACCAGATGCTCTGAAAATCAACTTGCAGCCAAATATTAAGCCTGGGTTTGGAGCCCAGTGCCCCTCCGTCCCAACCCACCTCACACTATAATTTCATTATCGCTCTCACTCTGTCCCTCTGTTTTCACCCCTCCACTTTCTCTTCCCATGTTTCATTAGAAAACATCAAAAGTCAAACTGCTCCTCTTATGTTTACCCAAACAAACCATTACAGTAAACAAACAGTTACTGTAAATTTCCCAGAAGATCTTGTTAAACGCAGAAATGGCTTCTCTCTGCTCTTCTGCAGCCCATAAGGTGTCCCACTCAGCAGTTGTGCGAGCCGTGCGTGTGTGTAATCTGAGATGGCCCTTTGTAGTGGTTGGAGCGCTGGTAGGGGCCCATCCTTCCCATAAGGCTGTGGGTGGCGGTATGGAAAAAAAACACACACAGTACGTCTATGTGCATGCGTGTTTGTGTGTGTTTCCACTTGACTCTATCATTAACGGTGATTAAGCTCTACAGGTTTATAATGGCGGGTGGTAACCAAGCCACCTAACTGCACACAGATGCTGGCAGTCGTAACTGAGTGTATACAGTGGTAAACAAAGCTTAATGCCAGCGGTGTTTACCGACAGGAGCGCCAAGGAAATGGCTTAAAAAAAAAAGAAACAGAGACCTTGCTGGTCTTTGTGTATTTTTAAACATGGTGGACAATTTCTCTTATTTTCTGTGTGCTTCACCTAAAGCCTTGCAGTGTGCTCCAGATATAGGTGCCTGGTCCCAGGGTTGATAGCGTATTCCACACAGACCTCCATAAGCCGTGTCATCTGTCTAAACACACTGATGTCGCTTTAACCTGTCAATACCAGTGTGGGGACCATTGCACCTGAGCGGTTTATGTGAGCGTCTGTGCATGCGTGTGCAGGTCACCCTATCGATTGTCCAGCGTTTGTCGTTTGCATTCAGGATAGTGAATTAGAGAGAAGACTATTGATTGGGCTCCGGCCTCTCATCTTTTTCATCTCGCAATCATTCAGGCTCGCTTACTTCTGTCCGCTGATGCTCCACTTTTGCTGCTGTGGAACCTCAAACCAAAGTGAGCTCTGATAGTAGTTGAGGTACATGTTTTATTAACAAGCAAAAAAGTTCATCATCAGCAAAAGGGAAGAAAACCTTTAATTTTCTGAGCCTTATGGAAACAACTATGTTTATATCCGCTACTGACTTTTTAAGAAAGCTCCAGTTTGTTTAATAAAAACCTATATCTCATCCACATTGTGGGTTCTGGTGTTTCTAATCTTCCTCTTAACAATAGCCCATACGTTCTTGGTGAGGTGTAGGTCAGGTCAGTTTGCTGAAGCTCATTAAGGCAGGGACTGGTTCCTCTTCCAATGTGGGCAGGTAACAAGTCTTGACAAAATACTTGTTTTTACTGATTTTGAAATGAGTCAGCAAGCAAACAAAATATAATGGTAAATTGCTGAGACCAAGTTGTGACATGAAAAATCAAAGAATAAGCCTATAAATCACACAAATACATGTAAAATCCATTCCCCTTATTGAAAAGCTTATTAGGGTATTTGTCTTTTAGAAAATGAAGGAGCAAAAGGTTACTTAGGATATGTAAAGTTTCCTTTTTTCATACTAATCCAGATCATGAAAATTCTGGAAGTGGATTCAATATTTTTCAAGCACATCTAGGGACTCCTATTGCTGTTATGTGCAAAACTATTTTAATTAATCATCTTTTAGTATTAATATCTTAATATGTAAGAGAAAACAATCTTCAAATTACCAAAAAAGATATGTTTTTTATTTCGAATTAATTATCGATAGGCCTATCCCTCAATTATCTAAGTTTATATTCTCTAAATATAAACTTTTATCAACATTTGCTGCCTAAAAATCTGTCTGTAGACTGGGTTATATGTCTTTTTCACACAAAAAAATGAATCACATTTAATCCAGCAAGATAAGTAAGAAATATGCAGGCAGAACCTTAAACAGTTTCAATGATCTTTATTTTAATCTGTACAACTCACAGCTCAGCTGTTTTAATTTTGCATAAAGTTTTTCAAAGGAAACAAACAGGCAGCGTGGAGGATGTCACATCCTGGCGTTAATCAGCTCAGTTCTATAGCAACACAGCTGCTCAATTTCTATTGATGGTGGCATTGCGGATGTGTATCGACAACAATTGAAAAACGTGTCATACACCTGTAATTACACATTGTGTGTGCGTGTGTGTTAAAATATAACTCACCCAGACCCGGGTTGTGGTCACCGTTCTCTCCATTTGCTCCTCCATGTTGCTGACTGCTGTGGTAACCTGCCATCGCCTCCAGTTTGATCTTTTTGGCCAGCGCAGAAAGATCTAAGAGAGGAACAGATATATAGAGAAGGAAGGAGAGAGGGGGCAAAAAAAAAAAAAAAAGAAAGTAAAAGAATCAATAAGAGCCAGATCAATGGCCCCCGGTGGAGGATTAGAGCTGTTGGTAGGCTGGAGGTTGTCAGGGGAAGACAGAGGCCAGCCATTCATTCTGCCTGCACCGCTGCACCGGCCATTCAGCCTGCCAGGGAATCAGCAGAGATGGGAACAGGCCGAGACATTCATCTCACCCACACAACGCTATCACATCCCACAGCAGAGCGCACAGGACCACGACGGACAGCGGAGGGAGCTCCACCTTTAAACCACAGAGGGCCTCTTTGTCAAAACAAAAGAATCAGAAGCAGGAGACAGGAGGTGAAGATGCTTCTTAATAGAGGTGTAGACTTTTGAATAATTTGTAATGGAGAGCGACAAAATGTGGCTGCAGGGTTGGGGAGTGTTTTAATTTGTGGTTTGACCCCTGCAGCTGCCCTTAGTATAGAAAATTAAATAGCTGCTGCGCTAATGCAGACCAACATGGTGAATTATTAAAGTTAGGGTGAAGCACAGGACTGTGCAAACACAGAAGAGGAAACACAAACAAGCTGTAGGTCTTAATTTCCTCATCACGGATACATCATTTAGTTTACTTTTTTCCTTAGATAATAGACGTCTGCAGCGGACAGTTTGTTCTTCTCCTCTCATCTCCTTTCTCCTCACTTCCCTGCCCCCTCGTCCCATCCCTTCTCCTTACTTTACCTTTTCAAATGTCAGCATCACAGCGGGACGTAAGCCACCGTGTTGCTGTGTATGCGCGCTCGGGAGCACATGAAGGCGAGAAACAGCGACTAAGGAGGATGACATCAAAGATCTTTCCTGCCTTTTACGCTCAAATGTCCTCGCTCTCTCCATCTCCTTCTCCCTCTCATGTGGCCAGTTCTAATCAGTGGCGCTGACATTGCCGCCGTGCCCTCTCCTTTGGTGGGAGAAAAAGACTCTTTTTCCTACTGAGAAAGATGCTCTTGAGCGGTCACGCAAACGCACACCAAACATAAAACCCACACACACACTGGAGCACCTTTGAACAGTGAGAGGAAGCGGAGGCTAATAGAAAATGGCTTCTTTTGAGGCGGGGAATGAAAAGATCAGGTTTCAGTGAAGAGCACAAAGCCAAGGGCAACTTTGAGAGCAGTGAGGTGCCAACAATTACTTTTCTCTCCCTTTTTTCTGTGCTTTACACACACACATACGCAAACACACACACACAAAGCTGTTATAAACAAACAGGAAGTGTACGTGACAAATAAACTGAATTACAGCAAAGCATTTACATTTAAAGATTCTGACACTATACTTGTAAAGCATGGGAAGACATATAATACCTAAAAAAAAAGACACTGAACAATGCAAGATTATGTCTCCCTGGTCCACAGATTAACATACTTAACTTTGTGCACTTTACAAGTCAAGGAGAAATAAAAAAGCACCAAGCTTGCAGGTTGTTTTTCATTTGTCAGCAAGTCTGTATGCTAATTTTATTAATCAACACACCAGTCGCCTTCCAGGAACCCAACCTCTTTGTGCAATTTATGAGGGGTAAAAACATGTCATTATAAAACAAGGAGTGAAAACCACCGCAAAGACAACATGGACAAGAAGGAAGGTGTTTTCTGTGGGAGCTAATGCAGGAGCAGCATGTGAACTATGCTGCAGTCAATACTCAATAAACTGTAGCTTAGTGCTTCATTACAAACACTGATGTGAGAAAATACAAAATATTTTTGAATAATAAAAATATTTAATTTTTTTTGCATTGCATCTAAGCAGAAAGATATATCGAATGGCCTTTAGAACAAGGAAAAGGAAATAGTTGGACGCAGCACTTTGAAGGTTATTATATTTCCATGACCTGCAGTAATCTGCACGCAAAGAAAATACATTTGACAACTAGAATGACCTCCCACCCCCACCATCACTTGATGCCCAAACTTGAAATGGATCTCAGTAACAGTGAGCTGTATGGATGTTTTGGAGAAGACAGCTGGGAAAGCACACGTCATCATTGTAGTAGCAGAGAATAATATGCAAATACCAACATTTTGTTTTATCATCCAGAATCAAATTCTACTGCGACTAACTGTCAAAGTATATAAAAAAAGGAATAATAGTTTTTTAAAAATTAATTGATCACTTTAACTTTTTTTTTTTCTTAAAAATATTCAAAGATTTAAGCAGTTTTAATCTAAACTGAACTCCATGTTAGATTGCTATCATGGCATTATTCATATATGTAACAACGTGGATGCAATATTTGGTAGGCTATTTCAAGTGCCATCTATCAGTAATAATATATTTAGACATTTGCTTGAGCTTTCATTGCCCTTGATCCCAGAAGGTGATACAGAGCTCAGTAAATGAGGTAGCAAGGCAGGAATCCTCATTAAATGTATCTTTACAGTCTTTTTAAACAAAATAATATTACGTTTAACTCATAAATGGCATTCCACATGCATCAAATCATATGAAAAAGAACTGTATTTCCATCTTTCTGTTCAAAGAATATATTTTATGAGATTTAAACTATTTTTATAGGTTATTTAAGGGATGGGGCAGTTCAAGATTCTCACAGTATGATAGAATTGAGGGAAAATGCCAAATTTTTACAACTTTGAGGCATTTATACAAAAATTCAAGAACATGTGTAACATGGTCGACTTGGTTTTACAGATAAGGACTATAATGTCAATATTTTTGCTGTTCTGCTCTTTTTAAAAATTTAAGTACACCAAGTTGATGGGTAATTGGTCAGGCTGCCTGCTCAGGTAGCGTTCTGGTCAGCTTCCTTACAGTAAACTGCAGCTTGAGTCCAGCAGACTTTTTTAAACAAGGCGACAAATTATATTAATTTTTTTTTTTTAAATACAAATGTTATGTATAATAAAACATTTTCACCAGCATACAACTGTTTATCAAGAGAAAAAAATACCAAAACTGGTGGTTTCCATTTTTTTTTTTTATTGCACTTTCCAAAATGTTTGTGTGTTGTGTAGGGGCATGCTCAGGCCTAGGTGGTCACCTGCAGGAGGTATGATCCCAGCGTGCATCAGACCGCCATGAGACAGCATGTGGTGCGTCCCGCCCTCAGTCACACTCTGCAGCCTCTTGGGCGGTCGTCCAGGCCTCGAGCTGCAAGAGGCAAACAGGCTAGTGTTAGTCATTAGGCAGTCCATGCTGAGGCTATGATGGGTGGCCCAGTCTCACTAAAGTGTCCTTCAGTCTGTAAACCTCTGATCCTGCTGAAGCGTCAACAAGCAAAAACACTGAAACATGAGCGCCTCCAGGAAGGCTGCTGCACAGCAAATCTGACCTCCCTGTGGATACGAGCAAGCAGAAAAGGAGTTTCCCTATGGCCTCCATAAAGCACCTCATTACCGTTCAGCTTACTCATTCATTTGTTTGCTTATTAAATGCGCTCGCCCGCCTCCTTCCCCTTCAGTCCTCTCCTCCTTCAGCCATTTATTTCCTCTTTTCCCGCCGTGTCACAAATATCCAAAACAACAGCTGTACTTTACAGGCAGATACGAGGTTTGATGAAACATGTGCATGATCAATCCATCCTGGAGGAAGTATTTGCAAAGCTGTCAGACATCACCAGGGCTCTGACTAAATGGTGTGAATGTACTGACAGTGGAAATGACATGGGCCACATCAGGCTTAATGACAACCAGCGTACCTCATCACCACTCACAGCAGCTTGACACAACACCAATCTGTGTGTCTGTCTAGTGGGTGCATGCTTTTAAAAGACAAGGAGCAAAAGAAGGAGAAGGAAGGCGATTGGGAGAGCATGATGGGAGCAAGGAAACCTGGGAGAACCAAAAGGTTAAAGAGGAGTAAAGTGTGACAGAAAGATGAAGAGGGACATAAAAACAGAAAGTGCACAAAAGTAGAAAAAAAGGCAAGAGAGAGGGTTGTTGGTGGCGATGGGTGGGGGTAAGCAGAGATAGACTAGAAGCAGCAGCTTCCTAGCATGGGGTGTCTTTGAGCAGATTTTAATTAGAATCTAATCCAGCCGTCATTAAGGCCCCATAAACGAAGCTGTCAGTCAGGAGATTAATGGCGCCTCATTTGCATGTTGCATATAATTCATCAATTACCCAGCAGAAAGGACCAATCCCCTGTTGACACACCCACTGGCTGTGAGGGGGTAGATGAAGAGACACAAAAAGACAGGGAGAAAGAATGTGTAGCCACAAACTGTGAGAGAAATACAGGTAGCTTGTACGTGTGTGTGGATGTGTGTGTGTGAATGTGTGTGTGCAAAGTGTTCAAAGGTTAATTTGATGAGCCGATGAGCTCCACAGTTCCTGCCCTCGGTTTTAATGAGTTGTTATTATTGTCTCTTATTATAGGCGCAGACCGACTGGGATGTGACAGCTGACATCAGATATCTCCCAGAAACACACACCCACACTCACACCAACAGATACACACCGATCGACACACACAGATGCATGTAAATATGGTCAGAAAAAAATAAAATAAAAGAGGGACCAATCTGAGTACTGTGGTTGAAGTCTGAAAAGCTTTGACCTGCTCATAACAATTAGAAACTGTAAGAACACTCAATACTTATTTGTTGAGTGTTGTCAATATTCAATATGAAGAGTTTTATTACTTTAAAATAGACTAAATCATTGCAAAGCCTCTTAAGCATGGCTTAGCATTTCTAACTGTAAAGCCTCTGGCAGAATTGCACCAATTCGGCTTGTCTCGGCCGATACCATTCTGTCGTTTTGTTTAAACGCTGGATGTGACGATCTTCATCTGTTCTGATTTTATCACTGGAAGGACTATAACCCATAAGACAAGTGAAAATAAATCTGCAGCACGGTTTATAGTCGAAAAAGAAGCTTTGAATTAAACAAATGTAATATTAACCACAAATATGCATTAAAGCATAACCTTCATAAGATTTTAATTATGAAAAATACTTTCTTTGTCTCCTAGATAATGAATAAATGCATGCTGTTCTTTGATATGTTTATTGGCAGAAAATAGTGGTATTCCTAGTTTTTTTTCCTTTAATCAATAGCATCATGAATATTCTATTTTACCAGTATTTGACCTGTCGGTTATGATTGCAGCGTTGCGAGAGCAAATTTGTCAATTTCAATGTTAAGATAATAGATTGGAGTATCTCTGCTCCAGAGCATACTCCCTAAAAAATGCAGACATTTCTCTGAGATTTCGAGACAACTACTAACCGTGCTAAACCCAGGAGGTTCTATAAGAAAATAAACACACATTCAGCCTCACTGGTGTCGGCTGTATTCTATTTTGTCTCTCTCCTTGCATGAAAGCAAAATATCTCCCACGTCAGGTATGAATTGACATTACCTAGCTCTCAGTTTCAATTTGGACCCAGAAAAAAACAATCGTAAACTAAACAAAGAAAAGCAGCCTATCAACATCCCCAAATCAGAACCAAAAAAAAGAAGAGAGGAAGGTCTTTAATTTCTATCTAGTTCCCAGAAGTCTGAGATGTACAGAAACTGCTGGCTCCTCTGCAACGGATTTCAAATCTACAGTATGGGTCAAATATGCATTTTTTTATTTAATTTTTATTACTTAACTTGTTCTTTCCTTGTTTTATAATATGATGTTTACAATTTTAATATACTACTTTGATATTTCAATGTGTTTTAATGTATTTTTCCACAAGTGTCTGTTCCTTAATTTTCCAAACAAGTATTTTAAATAACCTGTGTTTAAAAACTGCTACAAAAATAAGGTTACCATGCCCAGATTTGAATTGGAATTCTATAAAATGGGCAATTTAAACACCTTAGTATGCCTGAAAATAGCCCTTTTTTTTAGGTTTCTGAGAGTCTTTGGACCTTAGTCAGAAGTTTTCAAAGTAAAACTTTTTTGCTTAGAACATTATACGGTAGTTAAAAAGCTTTCGTTGGTTAGAAAATAAAAATTGTATTATGTAGATTTTGTTGTGCAATTTTACACGTGGAATCTTAATGAAAAAGCAGACTTGGGTATCTGAGTCTTTAACCGGGGACATAAAGTTGTGATTGCGTGTGTTGCTGTGAAATTACTATATTTGTTTTCAGCAGCATTCCGACCTCAACAAAAGCAGGAAATGTATTTTTGGGCTTCATGTTTGGAGGTAAAGCAACACAGTTGGACAGGAACTGATGTTGAAACATGTCAAATTCACACAAACAGATGCAGAAGTGAAGATCAGCAGGGGGAAATAAAACACACACAAACCAAAGCCTGACTTGTTTTTTATTGCAGCCGCTTCCCTTTCCCTTACTACTGTTTATTTGCACTCACTAATTAATGGCCTGTGTGTGTGTGTGTGTGTGTGTTCGTGTGTGTGTGTGTGTGTGTGTGTGTGTGTGTGTGTGTGTGTGTGTGTGTGTGTGTGTGTGTGTGTGTGTGTGTGTGTGTGTGTGTGTGTGTGTGTGTGTAGATTTGTGGGTGGGTGCGTTGTCTGCGCCTTTGTATATGTTGCATTTTTAAGGGGCATAAAGAACTGGAACCTAATTTTGTGTTTAGTCTGGAAGTGCGTTGATACATCAAAGTGACCCACGGAGGGAGGTCCTATGTGTGTACTGTGCACATGTGTGTGTTTGTGAGAGGTTGGAGAGCACCGGTTCCCTGAGGTAGGATTAATGAAAAAGCCTTTCATGGAAAAGTCATCAAGCTGAGGGGATGGAATGAGGGAGGGGAGGGGGGGGGGGGGCTGAAGAGAGAAAACAGTTCATTGTGTGAGTGTGGAGGAGGGGGTGTATGGCTTATGACCTCTTTGTCTCAAACTTTAATTAAAATCTCACCCAGACGTCCTCCTTCATGCCAACACTGTGGCCACACATGCACACACACATTGTTTTTTTTTAAAGGGTTACAAAAGTAACCTGCACATCGAGTTCTGCCCTCTGAGCTTCTCCAGGGTGTATTACCTGAAACATGAAACGCCAAACATGGCAGCTGGAGCTTAGCACAGGTGGAATAGAAACAAACCACAACAAAGATGACAGATATTCCTGCTCTTGCACACACACACACACACTCAGAGTCAAGAAAAGTAATGAAAGAAGAGGAAGTGTTACAGTCAAAACAGTGGAACAGCTACTGGGTTGGAGGGACTGAGGTGGTGATAGGTAGCAGCTGTGTGTTTATGTGAGAGAAGGGGGAGAAAATAAAAAGGGAGAACTTGCTCAAACAGGATTTTGTTTGGAATACATTAGCAGCGGTTTACAGCTCCCATCCTTTCAATCTGTGTTTATCACAGGGGTTTGTATTCGCAGTCATGGTCCGGTTTGATAAATCATAACGTCGTCACCGCTCGCTGGAAGACTTATGTTACAGGTTTGGAGCGAAGAGAGGGAGAGATTTATATTGTGATGAATGAAAAAAATAGCTCAGTGCGCCGTTCTCATTAGCCTGGGTGATGTCATGAAAGAAGCTCAAGCGGGACGATTGATCTTGGCGAAAAATCTGATCTCCTACAGTGATACAGCGGTGCATTCCTTTACTGCATTCCAGGGTCAGGACGATGTCAGGACAGCGTGTGTGTATGTGTCTGAAAGCCTTAAACAGGAAGAGACACAGAGAGACCCCTCTGTGATCATTGCACCCATTTCTATAAAACATCAAAAGAGCGTGGAGGTTAGAGTTGAGCCTGACTTAAACTCATCTGAACTCTGACTGGGCCCCAACATTAAAGAAGACACTCTCTGAACACTTCCTGTCAACTTGCACGGCCGAACTTAACCAATGAGAAACAGAAAACAGCTGTTGGCTTGTTTTTTGCTTTTTTTAATGGACAACATTGTCGCCATCCGTTTTCCAAAACTCTCTCATTTAGGACATAGACTTGGAATCCTGAGGTTGTGAGTTAGAAACCCATCCCCACAAACTGCCACTCTGGGTCTCTGAACAAGACCCTTAACCCCTGATTGCTCCCAGGATGCCCCACGATTCTTGGGGAGCAATCAGGCACCCAATACTACCTAGGAGAAAATTTGTCCAATGTGACATCCATAAAGTTAATTTCTTTTAAATTATTATTATTTTTATCATTTTCTGCAGCATAACCTTTAATTGCAAAATGTAGAAAAATGCATTAATCTGAGTCACAAATAATAAAAAACCCTGCTGTTAATACTTTGCACAAGCCTTATTTGCCAATGAGACAGCACACATTCTTCTATAACTTTCAGAAGGTTGGTGAATAAAGAAGGGAGGAGCTTTAACCTTTGCACTGTTTCTCTGGATCACCCAGGGTCATGGATTCTGTCATACTCTTTTCTCTTCGGCTCATCCTATAAATTTGCTACAGGATTCAGGTCTGGTGAATGAGATGGCCACAGAAAAAGGTTAATTTTGAGTCTGGGAAATCATTCCTACATTTATTTAGCAATATGTTTTGGATCACAGCCCTGCTAATGATGACCCATTTTTGATTCCTGGCAAAGGCAATCAGATATTTACTCAAAATGTCCTGGTATTTAATGCACTGATGAAGTTATAAACTTTATAATAATCACGTAATGAGCAGTGGGGATGAGGCACTTTTTTATTTGTGAGGGATATGTTTCACACCAAATTCACTCAGCATTTAGCAATCTTAAAATGTTAAAATTTCAGATGTAGGACAGAAATCTATTCTGTTTTATTTTAATTTTTTTTTATGCCACTCAGATTTTTGGGGGGAATATTAAATATTATAGTAAAAACTGGAGTTCTTTGGGATAATTATATTCTCCAATTTATCGTATAAAAAACCCCCGAAAATAAATGGTACGGCTAACATGATAACTTCAAACTACTTCTTTGATTCAATCAATATATTTAGAAGTATGATTAAATGAATAAAATATCATTGCGCCACTTAATTTAACTACTTCACAGAAATAGCATATTCGATAGTGAGTTGCTATTTTTGTGACTGACTGTATGCAGACAGGCGTATTTCCCAATATAACAATTACAACGGGTTAATAATTTTTTTATATCTATAAGTAATATGCAATATACCAACATTACCAATGGTATTGGATGATTTTAGTACCTTTTAAACATAACGGTATCAGTCTGAAAAGTAAAAGTGGGCCCATATTGAAAATAGATATTTGTATCCATCTACTTGCTGTTTTTTTGTTTGTTTTGTTTTTTCGAGATCGGCCATGTTTGATCATGTGACACTGACTTCTTAAGGTATTTAACTGAAGCAGAGAAGTGATGTCGGCACTGCAGTTGATTTTTCAACTGTGTCCAAAGGGTAAGGAAATATATAATTCCTTTAAATATCAGTTATGGCCATAATAGCAACATGAATAACATGTATTTATAAAATCTTAGATTTCCATATCTCTACTATTCAATTAATACTTTTACAACAACAAAATGGAATATTATGATACATTTCGAGGTCTGTTTCATCTCTAAACAAAAGTTCATTAACTACCAATCTGATGTTCTTTAGAAGATCTCATTAATTCAAAGAAAAATGTATTATAAATGTTAAAAATCAATTTTGGTGAAGAGGATCTTTTTAGACTTTTTTTTTTGTGCAACCTCAATAAAACTTTATTAAATTGTAAGGCTTCCTGCACATCCTTATACCCAACAAAGCTGTCAGCTGCATCATGGCTGCATCTTTTTCAGCAAACTTTACCTTAGCGAAAACAGCATCAAAGAAAATCCTGGGAATGTTTCACGTCTTTTGACAAAACAACATTTATCTCCACTGTTGCAGACTCAAATCTTAGCAGTCATGATAGTCTTATTTCATTTTATCTGTTTATAACTTAACTTTTACAAAACTATCTTGTGTGGAAAAGATTAATAAGCTCAAATGGAGAACCCATGTGTCGCCATTAAGACAATGTTCTGTAAAAAGAAATAGATCTGGTTTCTCAGTACATTACAACACATTTTTATGTAACACATGGGAGGGGAGCTTTTTCTTTAACACCACATACACAATGTCTACATACAGGGGTCATCAATACAGCTAGTTTGACCCAAGTAGGTTTGTTTGATGTGCTCTCCAAATGAAGAATGGAACTGTTCCTTTTGTGTGGGGGGTAGAAAAGCAAAGGACGACAGATCGGATTGCCTCCTGCACGCCAAGTTCCCTCGGTGGAACTAATGTCATTTAGAGGCGAAGCCTGCAGACTCACAGGCGTGACGGCGCGAGTTGGTGCACGCTGCCAGACAACGTGGACAGATCGTGTGCCTCTCCGTCACCTATGCATGAATTATAACTTGAGAGGTAGAAGTCGGCCCTTATCCTTGGTTTTATGAGTCGGTGGTTGGGGTGTGTTGAAGATAAGTTGGAAAAACAAAAGAGCATAAAATGTTCATTAAATTATATTCTGTTAAATGTTAAAAAAAGTAATGATTAAACAAGCAGTTAAAAACATGCAGGAAAACTATCAGCCATACCTTTTATGTCCTTTCCAAGTCTGTACACTTAACTAGAAAATAATAAGTGATGTCCGTCTTAATCAGTAACAGAAACCTGAGCGAGCCTGTCAGAAATCAACTTTCAGAGACCTTGTTGAAACTTTTAGGTTTACTTAACCCTCCTTTCTCCCTTAACAAGAACCATCAAGTCCCACTTTTTACCTGCTACTGTATGTTTCTTCATCCACACAAGGGATCACTTAAAAACCCCTAATGCAACTAGGAGGGGTTTGGGAGGGGGATACTGATCCTAATGGCTACTGCAACACGTGAAGCCCTCAGACAAAGAATCAGGCGAGTTGTTTGAAGATTTGAGACGAGTGATGTTTTCAGATCTCATTAACTAAAGGCTGTTTGAGAGTTGTGCGGATAATTAGAGACGGCAGAGGCTGTGAGTTTTCACTACGTTGTATAACAAACGCTCCCATTAACACCAGACACAGGAAGGAATCCCCGAGCAACCAGAAGAAGATGTATCCGGATTTCTGTCTTGGTTTGAGGGCTGCAAAAGCTTAAGCGTGGGTTTTAATCCAAAAGTTCAATCTTGTATTAAAACTTCTTGTTTTGGTTGGTGAGACAACATTTAAAGAAATAAGCCAGAATTCGGCACATCTCCTGTGTGCTCAAGTTAATGGCAGGTTTAAATTGGATCATCCATGCTCCAAGGAGCAAGGATTAATAATCAAACAATATGAATTTTCTAAACCAGAGTTAATCCACACTCCTCTATTTTTTTTTTAAGCTCATGCTGTCACTTGCATAAGGTATGCACAACAGCTGGCGCCGGGAAGTCACCAATCGCAGCCAATTTAGTCCCCCTTTATCCCAACATCTCTGCGCCGCGCTGCAATTGATGACCCATGCAGTTGGTCACCACCGGAGTTCTGCAAAACACCTCATTTACATAATCGCATCATAAATACAGAGAATTCATTTAATCATCTCCTCTGTTCTGATGCTCAGGGCTAAAGAGTGCTGATATGATAAGACAGCAAGTTATTAAGAAGGGAGAGGGAGGCAGGGAAGATGCGAGAAGGAGAGAGAGTGAAGGGGATCAGCGAGTGAGTGAGTGAGTGAGCTTGTCCTGATTTAAGCTGCCGCTTGGGGCCAAATGAAAATTAATTAATTTCTGTGAAGAATCAATTTCTCAGAATGACAGTGTCAGATTCAATGTGTGCAAGTGAGTGTGTCAAAGAGAGAGTGTGTCAGAGTGAGACAGAGATAGCAGTCAGTGATAACATGACAAACTTTTGAGAGTGTTTCTTTTTTTCTTGTTAGGATTACTAAAATTCATTATCACCAACATCACAGCAGCCTTCAAAACGTTTATCGTCCATTAAAATGGTAATTAGCTAAAGGCCTGGAAGGAGAAGAAGTAAGGCATGGGCCAGATATCAGCATTGAGGTATGCCGAAGTTTTACAAAGTTACGCTCTTTAAATTTGCAAGGATCTCCCCAATTGCTGTAGCTTAAAGTTCTGTTAATGATGCCAGTGAAAAGGGTTTAGTTGCAACACAAATTCCCCCATACCACCTGTTGCTGTATGCTGCCGGTCAGCTGGCTGAAACAAGACCACTATAATTCCTAAGTAGGCTTACAAGAAAGAGAAGCTTATTTGGGGAGATTTCCGCTCGGGAAAAAAAGGAATGGTGAGAAACATTTATGAAGCATCAATCATCTATCTTATTAAAGATAAATCTGTCTTGGAATTACAGTTGCTTATGAGAAGGATCTGAAAACGGTTAAAAAAAGAAAGGAACTGGACCTCAATCAATTGATTGTTTTCTTTAGACCGTTTAGGATTTTTCATGTCCTGGTTGACTGAAAACCTTGACAGCATAAGCTTAAGGAAAAGGGCAAATATCATCCAAAATAAATGATCAAGAAAAATAATTAGTCAACCTACTACTTACTACTTAGTATATAATCTCTTATAGGAACCAACATCACAGGGTTTAGAAGAACAGCTGTTCTATTAGAGACCTGTTGATAATGTGCGAGCTTTACAGTTTAGGGCACTAATTACTTTTAATAGGATTAAGCTCTACACAGTGATAGCTTTAAACCCAAAAACGACCAGGATGATACATAAATATCACAAAATGCTAGTACAATTTGAATAACATTTCACCTTGGCATCCTATAAGGCAGCTGAATAGAGACTGGAGCCAAAAACAGATAGCCTAAGTTATTAAACAACTATAATCAGCCTGTTAAAATAGTCTGATTCTGTAAAATGTAGGAAGAAACAGATACTACTGCAGACAGCAGGAGTTTATTGTCAATATTTGCTTAGACTTGTCTAAAACTAACTCTAATGTCAATGCATATGGAAGAGATTTTCCAACCAATATGAAATTCATCATCGCTGCAGTTTGATCATGTTTTGCATTTGCATGGGAAAATAGTAAAGCTGGAATTTTACAAAGGGTTATTTTACTGTAAGAACCTAATGCTGGTTCCTTGCTCTTTTTAATGCATTTAACAAAACTGAGCATTTTTCAAAAAAAACAACTTAATTTACATCCAAATAAACCTGCTGAGCACAATAGGGGGGAAAAAATCAGAATTTATTTTCCTAATACTTGGGTTTGTTTTGCTTATGCACTTCCTAAAAGTAAGGTTGGTTTCTAAACTAGAATGAGTGCATCAGTACCGGTGAAAGCAGCAGCTGTGGGTCAGCTCACCTTGCGTTGGTGCAGTCGTTAAAAAGCGTCTCGAAGTCCTGCCTGGAGATGAGCTTGCAGCGGTTCACCCCGGGCTGGATGGCCCCCAGCCCCCGCAGCACGCGGACCTGCTCCACGTTGCACACCACCGGGGTAATGTCCAGCCGCTTCAGCTTGGTGTAGACGGTGTGCAGCCCTCCGACCAGGTGCTTGAGGAACACATCGAAAGCCTGCGGCAGGCAGATGAGCTCCGTGCCTTTGACCGTGAACGAGGCCAGCTTGGCACCTTTCACCTCCACAAGCTTGCACTCGTTGTTCTGCGGCGTGCTCTCCACGGGCGAAGCGGTGGCGTACACTGGTTTAGCCCCGGCGGATAGCACCGCGCCTCCGCTCTTCAGCGGGGTCCCGTTGGGCAGCAGGAGGTCCGCCCGGAACTGGTGGAGCAGCGCCGGGTGCGCCACCGGCGGCGCAGGGGAGGACGCAGCGGAGGTGGCCGCGGGTGGCGGAGAGTTGGTGGCCGGAGAGACGGAGCTCGGTACCTGGTGGTGTCCGAGTGGAGCTGCGGGAAGCAGAGTCGGAGTGGCAGGAGTTGCCATGGTGGTCATTGTCGGAGAAAAGGAGCCCTAAAAAAAGTTGTGTCAACTATTTAGAGAAGGAAGTTTGCGTGCGTAAAGAGCGCATCGGGCGTCCCTGGGAGGAGAGGGGAACAACAGGAGGAGAGACGGTCCTGGTGTGGAAACAGAGATCACATTATTGAATCAGAGTGAGCGGAGGCTTGGCTCACTGTGGAGATGCTACTGTCACATTATCATAAGAAGGAGGAGCCAGGGCTGATTCTAAGACAGGAGAGGGGGAGAGAGAGCAAAGATTAGCCCACTTAAACTTTGGATAAGCTTATTTATGAGTGCTGAAAACACACCTTCATATTAATACCTCTGATGAGACTTGACATGTTTCTGGCATACAATCTGGGGTGTTAATGGCATTTCTAAATCTCTACTTTAAGCTTTGTTTCAGATTAATAAATACACCAGGATTGGAAGTAAAATGGCTTACTTTCTAAAAACTTACGTCTATGTTTACAGTGTAGAGATCCATGTAAAAACGACAACTTTAAAACAAAACAGTTTGATCTCATAGATTATTGATTACAAATGCACCGTTAAGATCCTTGTTGTTAATTACCAATGTCTGTATATATATATATATATATATATATATATATATATATATATATATATATATATATATATATATATATATATATATATATAAATATATATATATATATATATATATATATATATATATATATATATATATATATATCTTTTTATCTTAGATCTTTTCAGATTTTGGTCAATGTAGTTTCATTCCCACTGACTACAACAAAAGTCTCAGTCTATTTGAGTCCAATGCAGAATTATGTTCAAAATCCTACCTATTTATTGCATGAAAGCAAATGACCCTGTCTTCTATCTAATTAATAAACTCTAAACAAAAGTGTATCTAATTCTATCTGAAATTATTCTTTACATTTTAGTTGATATAAATAAAAAAGACATTTTAATATCTGATTTAAAAAATCTAAACTTTGTTTTATCAATGGATTTCTGGGGGGAAACAGTGTTGTGTCAACTAAAACATATTTTGTAATTTTTTATAAAAGATAAGAATAGAGATCGATAAAGTTTTTTTTTTTTTTTGGCAAATGTTTATTTTTTGACATGACTCAAACCAATCCCAGATGTGGACTGCTAATTATTGAAATAAGTATATATATATATATATATTTTTTTTGGGCTGTAGAGAGTACTGTATTGTATGTAAAGTTTACAGGAAGGGAAAATGTGCTAGAAGAAAAACTGCATGCGGAACAGGGATAACCTGTCATAAATGGGACAGATGGACAGTGGGAAGATTCAAAACTTTTAATGACAAAATACACAAACAGAACAGATAAAGAAAAGCGGGCTGCTTTGGATCAGGGGACCTGCAGCAGCTGTAGGGGGAAGGCGGAGCAACGCTCATCACTGGCACTCTGGATATGGGAGAAACACAGGTAAGTGACCATGATAATCTGACAGAAGATGATTATCCATGTGAGTCACTTATTTGGTTCAACAGCTCATTCCATCCTCTCAATCAGCCCATGCACTGCCAACGAGATGTGGCCCTGAGCCGTCCAGAGTGTCCCTGATGCAGCAACCCCAGTGAGCAGGCAGGAGACCAATCTAGGTCAGGAAAATCCACGAGTCCATAGCCTGATCAGGGGTTCCAATCCAAACAGGGACAGACAGGTCCTGGGTTCCAGGAATCCACAGAGCGTTTAGGCAGGTTCCGAGTTTTAAGAGTCCAGCAACGAGCTCAAACACACGCTCAGATGGAGACTGGCGGGTCAATGGTAGTGAGGAACTGAGACAAGACATGATACCAGGATAACTGCAGAACTTTAAACTGTACTCCTCCTAGGTGCCAGATTCACGGAAATTAAAATTGGCCTCCCCCACGCGCCAGGACATGATCAGGAGACAGGAAACAAACACCACACCCTCTCAATCCACTGGCCTCCATGGACGGGAACATGAACCATGGACTAAACAAAAACTAATCGACACAGAGAAAACATGGATAACTAATGATCTGGCCCAGATAGCTGGGGTGAACTGTATAGAAAGCAGCGGTAGCAGGTGAATAACATCAATGATAATTAGAGAGCGTGGAGGGTACGGCAGGTGAATGACGTGAGTGAGTGATTACGACTGTGATCATGACATAACTATTCCTGAAAGGGTTGTTGACAAAAAAAAAAAAAAGTTTGGCAGGCATTGTTCCAGGAAATAATTATGTCTGCAGTCAGTGCTTCAAGAATGAGCCAGATACAATAGCAGAACCATTTAACCTTAGCTGAAGAGTTAAAGAAAAGAACAGTCCAGAAACAAGAGATGACTTGTTGGCCATTTGGTCTGAATTTTGAGTGTTTATAGTTCTTTATTAGGCTGAGTTTCTGAAGCACGCACATTAGCTATAAAGCATGAAAATGAACAATCTAAATAAATATTTATCACTCTATGTGTAGTTAATCCATATTGTGTATGTGAAAGACAAGGTTCTGAGATAAGTTAACTTATTGTTGTTTAGATTTACTAAGTTTCCCCTGATAACCGCAGAAAAGCAGGTGTGGTGCTGTCTCATAATACAGACTTTGTAATTAGAAGCTCATGAAAAGGACGTCAGAAGTTAAAGAATGCAGATATTGACCAGAATATTTTTGTAAACTCTTAATGGATGTCATGGCAAAGTCCACCTGGATCAGCCTCTCAACCCTCTTTAACTTTACTATGAGGACAAAGAGATTTTCATTAAAGGTTTGCTGCCTTTCTCCAACTTCCACCACAGCGACAGACTGTGAAGAAATGCATATAGGTTTCCAATTAGTGCTTGACCTTTATGTGATTTGAGTGTTATTAATAAAAGCTTGCAAAACCAAAAGGGGGAGTATGCATCATTTGAAATTATGACTGTGTTTTTAATTTGAATGCAAGAACGCTCCTAATGAAATATAAGAGAAATCATGTACCAATTATGCCAAACTGCATCATGTCATGACGATACTTAAGCCTGGAGTTTTAAGCGAGCTCTCTTTTTCTTTGAAAGCAATCTCTGTGTTTTAAGTTTGTCAAACCTGCTCTTTGTTATATTTGGTACTTAGATGAGACAATCTAAATATCAAATATAACATGATGAGAGATCAACCACAGAGGTCAATACGTTTTCTTGATTAACTGAGCACTTTACCTGCTCTTTGCACAGGCACTAACACATCCACGCTCCCATCATTTACATAGAGCTCGCAGTCCTTCCAAAGTGGCTTTCACGGAACATTGTGTTGATAATGATCTTCAGGGATAGACAGAGAGAGAGAGAGTCACAGATCTCCAGAGACCATCTCACCGTAAGACAAGAGGGAAGAGGATAAAACTCTGACTGTTCTCCAACTCAAAGGACTTCAGCACTCTTTCTCCTCCTTTTACCCCCACCTCTCTCTCTTTCTCTCTCACTCTCTCTCTCTCTCTCGAATAAGCCCTCTTGTGTTTTTTAATTGGCAGAAATTAATCTTTAGGATGTAGATGGTAGATTTACATTCATTAAAAGTCAAGAGAGGAAGCCAGGCTTGATGCTAATCAAATCTGCTTAATTATGCTTAACATGAGTATCTCCAGGGGAAGAGAGAGAGGGGGAGACGGAGAGAGAGAGAGATAGCTAACTCGAACTTTTTACTTTTTTGCCTTTGATAACTCCTGCTGAGTATGGCCTTTTCCTCGCCAAAAAGAAATGTCACGACTCTCTTTCTCCATCTGGAAAAACACACAGATAAAGGCGTCAGTGTTAAACAGATCTATTTCATGTTGTAAGTTCCCAATGTAGAGTCTTTAATAAGAATAAAAGTGTTTTTGTTTAACCTCTCAGGGTTATTCTTTATACACTCTAAAAATGCTTGCTTAAAATCACCAGTATTATGTGAGTACAGAATTGAACATTGACCAATCAAGTTTAAGCTATGAGCTTTGCCGTGCATACAGCTTAGCGTTTAAAGCAAATCATTTTTCAGCATTTCTGATTAAATTACTAGAAGTATATATTTTTTCCTCATCAAATAGACCTTAATAGGAAAAAAACAGAAAATATAAAGTCCAATGCAGGACTTCATGAAAACTGACAGTAGTCAATGAGAAATTGTAAAGACATTTATTTTAAAGCACTTTTAAATTAAAGGTGATTTTGTTTTGGCTTTATGAAACTATTCCAGATGAGCAGATTTTGACATATTTTTAGCAGGGCTTCTGTGTGTTTTCTGACTAACATTTTCTCTCAGGATTACAGAGAAAAGTGTTCTCAACAGGTTCAACCTTATAGGTTTGAACCAGAGAATGATTCTAGCGATCTCCAGCATGAAGAACGCTTACTTGCATGTCAAGGCTACACCGAAAACCTATAAAAGAATAAAAGTTGTCTTAAACACTTAAGCTACAATGAGTCTATTTTTCTAATTGTAGCAGCCCCTTCCTTGCTCCAGAGGGTGTCAGGTTGACTGGAGGTTTAGGTGGACCCAAATGCAGAGACAGAAGGAGTTAGAGATGAGTGTCCTTTGATTTAATGCCGATCCAATGCAATACAAGCAAAAATTAAAAAATAACAAAATACAGAAAACAAAAAAAACAGGGGTTTTCAAGGAAAACACACATGAGGAGCAAAGAACGATGAGAAACCAGCACCGATGAACTGCAAAGGAGGATTATATGTGGGAGGCAGAACCAAGAGTGGACTAATTAGTTAATTCGGAGCAGGTGTGGACAGAAGCAGCTAGAAAGGAGGCTAGGGGAAAGGAAAAGGGCGCCAGGGGGCAACAAAGAGCAACAGGGGAAAACTGGGCTTAACTGTAACTAAAGGTTAAAGGGGAATACAACTAATGACTACAAAATAAGGATTAACCAAGGGGAAAACTAGAGGTTAAGAGAAGGAATAACTAACTAAAACTAGACCAAGGAATAAATAATAGCAACAATTATATAAATCTTGACAAAACAGAATAACAAAATAAAGCATAACTGAGAACCCAAAATGAAAACTTACACATAACCAAAAGGTGCAGGGTGGCAGATGATGACAGACGGTAGTTCACATCTCCACAGGCCTAAAGCAATAGCAGACTGGTTTGTTATTGTGGAGCAGCTTGGACCACAAGCTTAAAAAAAAAAAAAATAATAATAAAAAAAAGCTTAATATGCTCTCA